AGTCTTTGTAAATAGGGAAGGGTGGAGGGGGTGAAGGGAGGGCTAGGAATGGGGAAAAAATAAGAACCAAGATGCATTATGAAAAGTTACAGTTCCCAATGAGAAATGTAATTGTGTTGTATACCTACAATGTACCAATAAAAGAATTTAAATTTTTAAAAAAGAAATGAAAGACACATGTAAGAAAAAGAAGTACAGCTCTCCAATAAGTACATTAAAAATGTTCAGCATCTTTGCCTTTAGAGAAATGTACATCAAAATGACAGTTAGATTTCATCTCACTCCAGAAAGAATGGCTATCTTACAGAACTCAAAGAAACAACAAATGCTGGCAAGGTTGTGGGAGCAAAGGGAATCCTTCTACATTGTTAGGGAGAGTGTAAACTAGTACAATAACTATGGACATTGGTATGGAGATTCTTCACAAAACTAAAAGTAGAAATTCCATTGGACCAGCTATGCCTCTTCTGTGTATCTTCATGAGTTAGACATATTACAGTGATACACGTGTGCTGTATTTATAGCAGCACAATTCATAATAGATAAATTTTAGAAACAGCTTATGTGCCCATCAACCAATGAATGGGCAAAGTAAATGTGAGTGGAGTACTCAAAAGAAGGCTAAATTTGAACCATTTGTAGGAAAATGCATGTATCTTGAGACAGTAATTCTAAGTGAAATACATCAGACACAGAAGATTAAATATCACATGTTTTCTTTTATATGAGAAACCCAAAATATAAATAATTTAAAGAGTAAAATAAAAGAGAGATTACAGAAAACAGGAAAATATACATTTAGAGATGGGAAGAAAATCTGAGGAGGAGAGAGGGGAGGGTGGGAAGGGGGGTAGAAGTAAATATGATTAAAATGTGATATGTTTATATTGCAACTCCCCAAAATTAATATAATTATTATGCATCACAAATATACCAACAAAAAATATTGTTGTATACTTTCTGCTTAATTTTAAGGATAGTTGAAAACTATGAGTGTTACTAGACAAATTATGGGCAGTGAAGCTCAGCCAGTCCCAGTATCGGGAAGGAAGCTCCCCGCCTCCATCCCAGGCTCCTAGGGCAGAGAAGCTGAGCCGGTCCCAGCACCTGGAAGGAAGCTCCCCC